AAATGTCGATTTGAAAATGTCGAATAATTAAAATTTCGAAAATTAAAATATCGATTTAAAAATATCGAAAATTAAAATGTATGATTAAAATCGAAGTGTATATGTACAGAGGCGCCTCTGTAGATAAAGTTACGGTTATGCACCGAATTATCTTGGCTCCCTGGCTCCTAGAGATGCGCGTTTTATAGAAATGTACTCAAACTCAACAACACAACCCAACCGACCCCGCCCCATTGGCCCCCCCCCCCGCCCCATTGAGCAAAAAACCCAACTAAAATGGGCAAATTCATGTTACGATAAAAATAAAACACTTTTTAATTACATAAATTAGCCCATTTTAGTTGGGTTTTTTGCTCAATGGGGCGGGGGGGGCCAATGGGGCGGGGTCGGTTGGGTTGTGTTGTTGAGTTTGAGTACATTTCTATATCAGAGGCGCCTCTATACATATACACTTCGGATTAAAATAATATGTCGATTAATTGAAATATTTAAACAAAATATCAAATTCAAAATAAGAAAATATGGTTTAGTTTCACATTAAAATTCGATTAAATAAAATTTCGATATTATCATTTTCGACATTTTAATTTTCGACATTTTGTATTTTCGATATTTTGATTTTCGATAAAAAGTGTTCGATATTTTGAATTCGATAAAGTGAATTTCGATATTATGAACGTCGATATTTTATTTTCGATAAATTGAAAATTCGATTAAATAAAATTTCGATATTATCATTTTCGACATTTTAATTTTCGATATTTTGATTTTCGACATTTTGTATTTTCGATATTTTGATTTTCGATAAAAAGTGTTCGATATTTTGAATTCGATAAAGTGAATTTCGATATTATGAACGTCACCCATATAGACATATGAAAGTTGTAACACCCGAAACGTTTCGGGTGTTACACTTTTTAATCAAGAAAAACACATATCAAATTAGTCTCATGCTCAGATATTAGTTAGTATTTTAAATCATTACCACCATAACGTTACTTTTACTTAATATTATTACACTAATTAATCTGTAAAGTATAATAATAAAACAACTACATGATTTTATTTTAAAAACTGTTTATTAGGTAAAAATGGAATTCATAATCTTTAAATTAAACTAAATAAAAAATATTCAAAATTAAAATATATATATACAAATAAGTTTACTTGATTTTTTTTTGGTAGATTGTCCTCTATAACAAAGAAAACAAGGTTTTCCTTGCCATTATTAATTCCTTTTAATCGTAATGTTGACCTTATCAGTTAAACGTTTCTACTATAGTTTATTTATAAATTCTTTGGTGCTATTTTGTCTGTAATAAGAGTTATAACACATTATTTAAACTGCCTCATTTTTAAAATTAAAGGATAATTATAGTTTTATATACACAAAACATTTGGCACTTCAATGGTTTTTTAAAGTCCCATTAACTTGGTATTGAAAATTGCCATATATGGAACTATTATTCCACTGTTTAATTTTTTCCCAACACCCTGTATATACCTACATACTTATAAAAACATTGTTCAATTATTGTAAAAACATCTTTTAATTAATTAAAATTACATAGTCGAGTGTTTATCAAAGTAATTGAAACGAAAATGCACGTTTAGATTTCCGTATTTGTTGTAATAACAAAAGTCTATAATTTTTACCTTGTTTAATATGAAAAAATAATAGGCATGCAACCGGTTAGATAAGAAAAATGCAATTGTTTTTATAATGGTTTTGTGCTGTGCTCATTTCCTTGTCCTCTACATGCAAAGGATTATAGTATATTAATATACACAATTATGTATCAAGTTTGATAAACGCTATCTTGGTCACGAATTAAATGAGTGTCTAGAAAAGTTTATAAACGAGTTGTATACTATACTTTTTCCACGACAAATACTTATTATTATCTAAAAATTATTTAAATTAAATATTTCTATAGAGCGACATCTATAAAACAATAGAGTAACCAACTTAGTTGTCAAACTTTTATGTGTAGGTAAATCAAAATGTATCCCTTAAAAATGGACTAACCACCAGTTAAATCCGATATAGAACCAGTTTTTCATAGTGAAATTGAAAATAATGTTTTATGGGCACTCCACCCAAAACTTTTAATGGTTAATCAGTTAAATCTAGTTTACTGCCGGCGAAATCAAAAGGTCAACAACAACGTGCATTTAAACTTTTTAAATAATGGCGTTGGGAAATTATTTAATACTTTTGTATTTTTTTGTTGAGATAATTATTTTATGAATAAAATAATTTACACAATTAATTACTTTATTTAACGATTATATACCATTGACAACTGTCAAATAACCTAAAACTAATTTCAGACCGTGACTAAAACCTATTGCTAACTTCAGCCCGTGACTAAAATGCCCAAAAGCCACTGTTGCTAACTTCAGCCCGTGACTAAAACTCCATAGCTCGTCAACGTAGGAGTAGATAATAGTATATTATGTATCAAGTTTGATAAACGCCATTTTATACACGAATTTAATTTAGGCACGAGCGAGCTTGCGAGCGAGTGCTTAAGTTAATTAGTGTATAGAAAAGTTTATAAACGAGGTGCATACTATACTTTTTCTACGACAAATACTTATTATTATCTTAAAATGATTTAAATCAAAAATTTGTATAGAGCGCCATCTATGAAACAACAGGGGAAACTGTCAAATGTCACATTTTTACATTTTATAAACACAATTATAAAGGTTATAAATCGAAATGTATCTTGAAAATTGACAGTTTTTCACAGTGAAAGTAAAGAAAATGTTTTATGAGAACTTTACAGTGGAGTCCGTGCCTGAATTTAAGTTATAGTTTACTGCCGGCGAAATTAAAAGGTCAGTACAATGTTCCTATAAACTTTTCAAATATTGGCGTTGAGAAACTATTTAATAATACTTTTGTATATTTATATTGAAATAATAGAATAATTTTCACATTTAGTATTATTTTACAAGAAAGGCACTTTATTTTAACGATTGTATGCCATTTGACAACTGTCAACTAACTTAAAACTAACTTCAGCCCGTGACTAAAAACCTGTTGCTAACTTCAGCCCGTGACTAAAGCGCCATAAAGCCACAACTTGTCAACGTGTAATTAATAGGTCAGTTAGTGTCATGGAAACATGTACAATAAAGGGAGTTTTAAAGGTGGGAGTAGAAAAACATATTTAAACTTAAAAACAGTTTTTAAAGGACTTTTGAATTTTATTATTTTTTTAATCAACGTGATGTGGAATTTTTGGTTATGTATCATCTTGTGATGAGATATAAAATGCAGTAAATACTGCAAATATTTAAATTAAAATACATTTTACAAAAAGGTACTTAAAATTAAAATACTTCAACCACGCTATAGCATGCATGCATACTATACATGTAAGTATAAATACTGCAGAATTGTAAATATGTTTATTATTTTAATAAATAAAAATATTTAATTCCAAAATCTAGAGAAATTGTACTTTCATCTATTAATAACCAATTATTATTGTGCATGGGTTATATAATTTATTAATCATAAACAGATGCACTATATAGTGCATGTATGCTAAATCTAGAAATTCAAATACCTATTCATAATTTATGTAACCAATTAATTACAACTACCTAGATAATAAAACTGCCGCAAAATCTGGTTCATATATGGGTGAATCTCACGAAATGTCCCCCGATGGTGTTACCCCGTGATATTTAATAAAAACTAAATGAGTTTATTGTGTTTTGATCTTTCATTATTAAGTAGATATTACAGCTCAGGTTCCAGATTTTTAACCGCAATTAATTTTTTTAAATGTTTTAAAAGTCTAAAACCTATCCTCCGTGACTGTTACTCTTTCTAGGTTAACCTATATTATATGAGGTAGTAAAAGCATACTAAAAATATCAGTTCACTAAGTACATTAAACACATCCAAAGCAATCGAATCAAATATAAAATATTATTAAAAATTAAAAGAAATATTTTTTATAACCATTTAGGTAGGTGTTACAAAAATTGATTCTATCCTCCGTGAATCTGTTTTTCAGCTTCAGCTCGTGACTAAAACGTCATAAAGTCACAGCTCGTCAATGTAGGAGTAGATAAAGGACTTTTCATGTAAAATAAGGCAATAACACCTTATCATTTATTGAAAAGGATGTCTTAAATTTTTTGCAAATAAATTAAGATAAATTCTTAAATAAATTTTGTATGTCACTGCCAAACAAAAAGTAAACATAGAATGTTTATTGATGACAATTTTAAATGAAACTTGCTACACGCGAATTTGGTACTACTGTCTAATGATTTTACATCACTTCCTGGTTCTTCATGGTCACTCACTTTATAATAAATGTACCTATAGGTCAGTATACTGACCTAATATACCTAATAAAATTGCATAATTATTGGTTTGGTTTACACCTTTCTCCTTTGAAAAATACAATAAAATAAAATTAATTTAAAGAAATATAATAGGTACCTACCTAATTTAATTAAAATCTGCTTTTCAAATAGTTTATAATGTTAGTTTTATTACCAATTTTGTATACTTTTTCTACGACAAATACTTATTATTATCTAAAAAACACAGTTGTCTGTGCTAAAAAAGATTAATCCAATTTAATATTTGTATAGAGCGACATCTATAAAACAATAGAGTAACCATTCTAACTTGTGTTCTGTGTGGGATGCAGAGATATATCTGGTGGGATGTCAAATTTGTAATTTTTACGTGTAAATCGAAATTTATACCTTGAAACGGAGTAAAATCGGTGTTAAACTCTTCAGTTCATTTCGTTACTGGGTCAAAAATATTTCCTCATTAATCAGTAAACATATAATTAATTGCAAAGACATTCTGTATTATTTATAAATACAATTGCTAAATCTGGGTTTTCTAATTATAAATTTTTCATAAATTCACAAAATTTAGAAAACCGAAAAGAAAAAAACCCTAAAATAATTTTTAAATTACCCGCTCAACTCGACAACACCGCAAAATCTATAAATTTGACAGCCGACCCAAACATAACCTACAAAAAGTGCAATATACGAAAAAACGATTTTCCATCAAAATAAACAATGGAAAGAGACATAGAACAGCTAAATTCCGCCTTAAACTCGGTAAAAGTGCTTCGGTCGAACGTAAGGCGTATTTTCGATTCTGTGAGCAACGGTTTAAGAGCAGATCATGGAGACGATGGAAAGGAGAACAAATTTATAACTGAGTTGCAAGAAATCTTAACTACTGTCAATACTAACTTAAGGTATTTACATTTAGTTTGTGTATTATTGGTCTTAATTGATTTTTTATAGGGATGTTGAAGGTTCGGTGGCGAATTTAACAACTCCCGGTGGTCCATTTAGTTTGGGGAATACTACATATTTAAGTCAAGAAACTACCTTGGAAAGACAAGCTTTGTATGGACAGTTGGTTAATAGCTACAAATGGACTGATAAAGTAATAATTTTATTTATATTTAATTTTATGGTATGTATGTTTTATTTTTTAGATACGAGAATATAGTGCTCTTGCTGGCAATATATTGGCAGCAAATTCGTTTAATAAGAGCTATAAGACTTTTAGCACAACTAAAAGAAGAAAAACACAGACAAGTAATCATAATGTTTCACCAGAGTATGTTTTACGGCATTTTTAATAAGTTTTCTATATAAGTTCTATTTTTAGGGTTATAGAGAACATTATTACGAATGTAGATAGACTTTTTCCTGACATCACTTTAACAACAAGCCGGCCTTTTGTTGCCAATCCACTAATACAGGTGATTACTATTTAAATATGGCTAATGAGATAATTAAATTTAATATTTTAGGCTTCTCTGGGCAGAGTTCTTAGGGGTCACATTGCATTCAAAGGTCTTATGATTGAATGGGTGGTGGTGAAAGCACATGGAGAATCGACAGACATTTGGACTGAATCTCGCTACAAAGTTTTCAGGAAAGTTACGGAAAACTGTCACGCGGCCATGTGCCACTTTCACTCACCCATGATGCCTGAATTGGCTGTCAGATCATTTATGGTATGTATAGAATCATTTATTAATTAAATTTTATCAAGTTTTTTAAATTATAGGTAATAAATTAAATAATTTTACCACCCAAAGTTGCTTTCCAGTTCTTATTCTGCTTAAGTACCTAAGTACCTAGGTAATTTGGGAATTCTTTTACCTAAAAATAGAAAAAACTTTACCTATTTGGTCATTAAATATACCATAAAAGTTTCACCTGAATAGATTCAGTAGTTTTGAGAAAAACCCTGAAATTTCCGGAAAAAAAAACGGAAAAATTGCTCAATTTTCAGAAAAATTGACTTTTGCATTTTTTCATTTTATTCAAAGGGTAATACGAAAAAAATACACTGGTATAAAAAAAATAGTAAACTTTTGACTCTGATTATAATCATATGTACATGATTATAATAATTATTCCTATTATTATAATTCAGTAAGAATCTTATACCGGGTCGCAAAAAAACAAATTCGGTGTTGTATTAAAATAAATATCATTTTATTTGACACATCGATTTATAAAATTATAATTTTGCAATTTAACTTTATAAATCATTTATTATTTTGTATTTTCAATGTAGGACCCAACCAACAGTATATTTAACGTTTACGTTTAAGTTTTAATGTTTTTTTTTCTGTAATACATTTATTGTGCTTAAGGATATTTTTTTAATTAAATTAAAATAATGTTGAGCAATCAATGCTTTGTATATTTTCAAAGAAAAAATATGAATTAGGTAGAAGTTTTTTATATTTTTTGTAGTACGCCACTGGTTACACACTTGTTTTCTGTGAGTACATTAAGTTCATTTTTTTATCTGGACTGCGGCAACGTTGCAAATTTAGGGTTTTGGTTGGTAAATACAGTTGTCAAGTTGGTCGCATTGATTAAAACAAACTAAGCTAGTTATAAATCTAATTGTGGTTATGTATAAATTATTGTAGGTTACATTGTGCAGTTGTCAAGTTGAGTTGTCGAAATTCGTAGTTTAAAATGCAATTAATTTGGCTTTGGTGGTGCTTGGATGAGTAAAATCATATAAAAAAAGTAGTTAAATATAGGTTGCTTTACGGCCCAGAAGAGAAAGTATTATTATTTTTGTGAACGTAAATGTTGTCCAATGGTGAATGATGTGAAAATAATGTGTGATGTAATATTTATAAAACCAAATTCGTTACTTTTTTACTCCAAAAATGTCCATAAAGGCGATGTACTTTTTCTTCCATTGTGGCATTTGGCATAAGTAATTTCATCCAAATGAAGTTTTGCCCTCAAAAGGGCTTTTACATTCGAATTCGTTGCTATTATTTTTGGCATAATTATCTTTTTATTTATAATTGACAAGTCAATTATCAATAATAAATATTATTGTCAATTTGACAGTGTGAAAGTATTTAATTCTTTAGCAGAAGTACCATTTTTAAATACTAAAAATACTAAGTCAAACTGGCATAAGCCACCAACCTAACAAAAAAACATGAACCCAGATAAAAAAAAAGGATCTGTAGATACCAATCAACAAAGTAGCTGCGCGTTGCCAGTTGTAAAAAATTGACTCTAAAATTTTTTCTTGCAAAAAATAAATAAAAACTCAATAAATACAAAAAAGTTTTATGCCCTTAAAGCTCTAATACCCTTCTGTATTTATTTACTCATCCAGCTATTAGCTTAAGCAATGATTAGAAAATTTTGAACCCATTTTAAAAACTCCATAACCACAAAATTAATTTTTTCATCGTTTTTTTCTTTCTGTTTACTCAGATGAAATTAGGAAAAATTCACAGGTTAAACTTTAAACATTCAATTTGTGTAAATAAATCCAAAAGCACTTCCCTTAGTTAAGATATTTATAATTTGAGTACATAACCTAAAATTTGAAAGAAATGCACTAGATTCTGTCATTGAAGTTGCCAGATTTTGTTTAAATTTACCTTTATTGCAAAAATTAATAAAAACGCCAAATTAACAATTTGTATTGTTGATTTTGTCATTTTTGTAATAAGGCCAAATTTAAACAAAATCTGGCAACTTTGTTTGACAGAATCTGGAAACGCTGGTTGTTACCAACCATAACCTAATAAATTAAATTAGGCAACCAGATTAGCCTAAAGTTCCTAGTCGATCAGTGGCGTACTTTTTGGTAGGATAAAGGTTATTATACATTATTTTTAGTCTTTAGAATTTAGAAAACAAGTTTCAGGTGCTTCTTTATTGTATAATAATAATTATCATTTTAATGTATTTTAGCATTGGTTTCACAGTTACCAAAACTTATTTAGTGTCCCTTGTAAAAGGTGTGGAAATCATCTTCATAACAATTTGCCTCCAACATGGAGGGACCTAAGAACATTGGAACCCTACCATGAAGAATGCAAATAATTGTGAAATATCTTGTATTTATTAAATTAAGTTAATTTTAAGGAATACTTAGTGGAAGGTGAAATAAATTTTAAACACTTGGACGTATATTTTTATTATCTTATATAATTCCTTACATTTATATTTTTACATTTAAGCGCTGTCTATTAACAAATTTATACACATTTTGTTGCAAAAAACAATAGAAAACTATACATTTAAAAATGTTTACTCTTATGTAAGTGCGCTAGTTCAAAAAACGAATCAACATGTTTTTTTTGGGGGGGGGCTTTAACGCGTTTTTTGGGCAATTCGTGAAAAATAGATTAACGAAGTTCAAAAAAAAGTACGACTAGAACAGATATTTACATCAATTGACATTAATTTTTTTAGTATATTAGAAATTGGTCAAATTTTTTAACGTTTAGTAATTAGAACAGGGTTAAATAAATTAATAATGTTTATTTTTCTAAAATATATCAATTTTGGCATCAGACTCAAAATTTAAAAATTAATTATCGTTATTTGCACTCTATATTTTTTTATAAATTTATATATTTTGACAATTTATTTGAATTTTTTACGGACGGAACCAAAACTTTAAATTTAATAAAATTTAAAAAATGGTTGGAAAAATTCACACAGTTGTTAAAAATAAAAAAAAATAGGAGCGAACTGGTGGTTCAAAATTTAAAAAATGTGGAAAAAAATCGCACAATAGTATAAAAATTAGAAATGGTAGGACAAATTTCCAAAATGGTTGAAATTTTCAATTTTTTTTAAATGATCTGATCCTATAATAAATTGCTAGATTTCACGTACGTATATTAACTTACGTTATTTCTGGGAATTTAAAAAAAAGTAAGTTTCAGATTTAAACATGCATATTAATCTACACTTATATCCAATTTGTGATTTTTTTCGTCTACTAGATTTTAAGTTACCACCACTATCTTTTGTTTATCCTATGGCAGCCACATTGGACTTTTAGATGGTTAGATAGAAAAAAGTTAAAGCGGCCATTATGAAAACAAAAGATGGAGATGGTGAGTCAAAATATAATACCAAAGAAATTCTCATCTAAAACTTACTTTATTTCAAAATTCTCAGGAATAACGAAGTTAAAACGATTTTTGGTCTTGACATTTTTTTAAAATATCTTCAAAACCGATAAGTACCTTTTTTCCAATTTATAAATTTCATTTCTCTGATTTAACTTTGTAGCTTATTATTAATTTTACAAAGCATGTTCTAAAATCTAAAATAAAATCATCAGATATCAAATTTTTTCAGTCATATAAATACTAGGTTTGACAAAAAAAATTAAATTAAAAGTTACAATTTTTTCTCAAATTACCGAAATCGAACATTTATCTTTTTTATTTATTACAAATATGATAACCTTAAGGTTAGAAATTTCTATTTTTTAGTTAGAAATTTCTATTTTTTAGTTTCGTTTTTGTAAATATCACATAATTAATATATTTCTTTCTTGGATTTCTCATCCCTTTTAATACTAATTCCTTGGTCTGACATCTGAAATAGTTTGTTGCAAATATCATTAAGTGTGGTATCTCTAGTTTGTGAAGCATTTATAATGTTTAGGCCGGAACAGGATGATTTATATATATCTAATATTTTTTCGGGGGGTATGTTAAAAGTATTTTCCGAATTTATTAAATTTGCCGCCATTAGTTTTTTATGTTCTCTATCATGCACTATATTTAAATCACTGTTATTCTGCAAGATGTCCTGTGACGAAGAAATCACTATATTAGTTACTCTCTAAAAATGAATTGGCCAAAAATGTCATAGCGAAAAAGCAGCCACTAATAATTCTCGTCAACAGCAATTTGTATCCAGGACATTTAGCAGTCAATTCCTATGAAATATTATTCGCTGAATCCGAAAATGTCGTCAAAAGTTATAAAAGTAGAACAGTTTTTGAAATATAATCAATTTTATATATAATATGGAATTAACTATATCTCAAAATCTGCTTAACTTTTATAGTTTTTGACGGTTTTTTCGGATTGAGGGGACAATTTTACATAAGAATTGGCTGGTTAATGTCCGCGGGATACAAATAGAGTATGATATTGGACTTATGTCCAATAATAGAAATTTACATTTTTTACCAACCAGTAATTGGACACTAATTTGTTTTCAGAATTAAAATTAAAACGCATTAAAGTGACAATGTTTACACCATGAGGAACACATTTATACCACACACTGATCTGTACACTTTTAAGAAGTATTTTTTATTGTAATTTAAACACAGCCGTGCTCTTAACAAAAAAAACAAAAATCTTACCACCAAAGAAACGTGCGAACTTTTTTGTCCTATATTGGACCCAAAATAAAGTAGTTCTATATTATTTCCGATTGAGATATTGATAATTGTATACAGCGTCATCTAATGATTTGACTTTAAGGTAACTATTTATAGAACTCTTGTTTTTACAGTTTTAATGTTAATTGTCCGATAACTGTCTACTTTACCCTAGATACTCGGTACATAGGGTATACATCGAACATTTTCAAAATGTTGATTTCCAAAATTTTGGAAACTTATTAAAAACTTGGAATTTTTTTAATGACAAAAGTCAAAATTACAACTTTAGTCTTCTATCTAACTGCTGAAAATAATATTAATAATCAAATAAATAAAATTGTTACCTCCAAAAATGTTGAATTCTTCAAATAAATCTATTTAATAAAAACTAAGCGCTCATGTATTTTTTACATAGTGTCTGTGCCAAAAACCATTAATTTAATTAACCCTGTTATTTTAACTACTCCTTTGTATGACCTATTTTTCCCGTACGCCCGTTTACATTGTTAAACCTTTTAAAAAAGGCTCTTTTACGTGGTGTGTTTTCTTTTTTGGTAAATACCTAAATCAGTCAGTAACAATTTATCATTAATAAAAGTATTAAAACAATCACATTTATATAAATGGCGGCCAAGGTGGGCGCTGCTATTCTGGACGAGCCGTTCTCCGTCGTGACGTCTTGCAAGTTGTAACCGCTCGCGTACGTCATGTTGACGTGGAAGTTTCCCTCGGCCAGGCCGTTTGGTGAGCGCACCAAAAACGTGTACTCTCCGATGTCCACGTTGGTCACCTTGGTGAGGAAGAGCACCGCTTGGTGGCAGTTCGGCTCGCTGCCGTTCTGAAACAGAAAAAATACCTTTAGTTTGCCTTCCTTCCTTCCTCCCGTAAAAGATGAACGATACGAAAACCGTAACCTAATCTATAAACAGCACTACGGTTTTCGTATAGTTCACCTTTTACGGGAGGAAGGAAGGCAATCTATAAATCAGGGTTTAACCCTGATAGCACAGTTTATTCCAAGAATGTTTTTTAAACCTTCCAGTGGGAATATTCTTAGGATCATGCTATATTTCTTCTAGTCATGTTCTAAGAATGTTTTTTAAACCTTCCAGTGAGAATATTCTTAGGATCATGCTATATTTCTTCTAAAGAACATGCTTAAAAGAAATATAGCATAATTGCATAAGGTGCAAAGTTTAGTGGTAAAAATTAATCCACTCTAAACATATGCTTAGAATGTTGAGAAAGTAATTGCTATAGAAAGTTCATTTAGTAATATTCCTGGAACATTCTGTTAAGCATATTCAGTTCAGTTAAGTACAGTGGCCGACACGGAATTTTGAACGACATAACTTGGTTGTCAATGTATACATCTGTAAATAGCAAAGATATAATATTGAGCATTTTTGCTTTCGCTGTCAAAATTACAATAATAGTGATAACCGAAAGTAAGGTAAGTTGTCCATAAAGAAAGTTTTGATTTTGATGTCAACGGGATGGTAGTCGTTCAAAATTCCGTGTCGGCCACGGTACCTATATAATAGTAAAATATACCATAATCTACGTATAAAAGTACCTATACTAAGTATTAAATACTAAGTAAAAAACGCAACCCAAAATATTTTTTTATAGTTATTTGTCAAATTAAAACAATATTCGATAACAAAAATACTTTTACTATAGGTATCTAAATTATCCGGCTTTTACATAAAATCTTCTATCCAACTTAAATACAATGAAAAATGTTTTTTTTTTATGAAGAACTATTTGGTTTTTTTTTTATGAAGAATTATTTTATAAGGAAATATTTTGTTTTTTTATATTTTATTTAATGTTAAAAATAAATATTTATTAATTTGTATACCGATTTTTTATTTCTAAATTAACATTTTTAAGTATAATTATTATTTTAATTATTATTATTATTATAATCCTAACTATCTTCAACTTCAATCTAATCTGACTTATCCCACAAAATTTTCCAATTTTACTTTTTATGAAATAATGTCATAAAACTTATGGTTTAGAGGTCAAATTGTTTATTTAATATTTTTAAATAAATATATACTATTATGTCGCAAAATTTTTTAAGGGGACGACAAATACATTTCAGTGTCATATTATGACAGTGAGGCGTATTTGTCGCCTCCTGAAGAATTTTACGAATGTAGAATCCAACATATTAGAACGTGGGTATCTGACATATTTGGAAATATTCTCAAAAGCTTCCTAGAAGCTACATAACAAACCTTCTAAGAACATTCCAAAAACGTATTCTTAAAATGTCCTTAGGATGCTTTTTAGGAAGGTTTTAAGAAGCTTTTAAGAATCTAATTGCATCATTAAAAGGGTATCTATTGAATGTTTTAAAAGTCCCTAAGAACATTCTTAGCAATAAGGGAAGGTTCTTAGAATATTCCATTATTCCGGGTCATATCTTCTTAGAAGATTCTTAGAATTAAATTTTGCTATCAGGGGCATAGTCACGATTATCCCACTTTTTCCAAACATTGAGTACTCCAGCTTGGTTTAACTAATTTTGCGCCGTTGATTTCAAAAATGTCATTCGTTTTTCTCTAGGAAGTCTAGGATTTAAAATAATTTCGTAATGGATTTAACTTAACAATATGACATTTTAAAAACTAAAACTAAAATTTTATATCCTTTATGCCGGTTTTCCACCAAACGGACAGTTGAGTTTGGGTTTTGTTTGTGTTTTTAAAAACTTGCAAATCAAAAACAAAACTGAAACAAACCCGAAACTCTTGTTTCCATCAAACAAACTAAGTTTTGTTCGAGTTTTGTTTTTGTTTTCGGTCCTTTTCCACTAGTTGTCGTGATTATGTCAGAACACACTTTTTCAGTATCAACCAACATGTTTAGAGAAAAAGATTTTCTTATTCTTAGTTGTGGCTGGTTTATACTTCTTCGTGAATAACTTTTGAAGAATTAAATTAATTAAAACAAATTATGACTAAAAATCAAAAATAGCGATGATAGACCTCTAAAATAAAATTAAATAAAATTAATATTAATATTAAGGGCTCAAATTTTCACCAAATTTTTTTTGTCATTCTGAATGACATTCTCGATATATTTTTCAAAAAAAAAATAGTCAATGTTTTTGGCCCATATATATATACATATATATGTGTATCTATTAAACTTATCCATGACATTTTACTGCCGAGGCAGTAGGTTGTGTGCGAGGTAATTAATAAGCTTTCACCGCCGTGTTTTATATACTATTTTTTTCAAGCTCTAAATTTCGATATTTTTTTGAAATTTTGTAACCTCATTTTTAGGTTAGGTTTAACAGTCAGACGACAAAATGTCACCATTATTGTTCGGCGGTCAATAATAATTTGACTTTTGAACTAGTACAATAATGTAGTGACTACTAGTTCAAAAGTTAAATTATTATTGACCGCCGAACAATAATGGTGACATTTTGTCATCTGACAGTTAAACCTAACCTAAAAATGAGGTTACAAAATTTTAAAAAACTACATTGTAGTATTTCTATATAGACTTATGAGGAATATAATATGAATATTATTATACACTTGGAAAAAATATGTTTCTTACTTACCTACCAATTTAGTATGAAATTCGTATCTATTCATAACTAAATTGTAGTATTTCTATATAGACTTATGAGGAATATAATATAAATATTATTATACACTTGGAAAAAATATGTTTCTTACTTACCTACCAATTTAGTATGAAATTCGTATCTATTCGTAACTAAATTGTAGTATTTCTATATAGACTTATGAGGAATATAATATGAATATTATTATACACTTGGAAAAAATATGTTTCTTACTTACCTACCAATTTAGTATGAAATTCGTATCTATTCGTAACTAAATTGTAGTATTTCTATATAGACTTATGAGGAATATAATATGAATATTATTATACACTTGGAAAAAATATGTTTCTTACTTACCTACCAATTTAGTATGAAATTCGTATCCAGACTAACAAAATAAAATAAAAGTCGAAAACAAAAAACACAACACGACTGTTTCCACTAAACAGACTCGAGTTTCAAAACACGTCGAAACCTTTTGATGTTACCGCTTTCGAGCGGAACTCGAAAAACAAAACTCAAACTGTCGCAAAACACGCCAGTCTTCAAAAAGTTTGCAAAAAGTTGCAGTTTTGTTTTATTCGACACGAGTTTGTGTTTTGTCCGTTTGGTGGAAAACCGGCATTATTTAAAAAAAAACATTATTTGACATTTTTTGTCGTTTATTTTAATTATTAAATTGAAAGGCCAACAAAGTAAACAAGTTTCAGTATTTTTTATCCAAATTAAGCCCACAACATTTAATGCATTGCATATTTTTGTTTTTTTCTGTTGAATGTAACAATCTGCATTAGTTGTATGTAGTATGATAGTTAATATTGTTAATATTAGTTGGCAATGTAAAAATGTGTAGTCAATAAATAATTAGAAGTTGAACTGGCAGAATTATTTAAACGAATGTGTTTTAATTAATTATATAAAGATATATTGTTAAAACCATTAACTTTATCAGGTTATGGGCCCAGATATACGTGAAAAGTGCGTGTAAAAGTAAAACGGCCGAAGTCAGTTTGTAAAAGGTGTGTCACCTTCTGTTATCATTAGCAATAAAGTTTGATACAGTAATAACAGCCTTAGATACAGTTTCTGGACTTTGTTAAAGCCAGACTGATAGACGAAGAAATAAAAGTAAAGTCCATGACGCTAAAACTGAAGAGTAAATCAATTTTCAATAGGTTTACACAAAAAGGATGCTACACATGTGGAAGCACGCAACATTATAAAGCAGATTGTCCAAAAATTTTAGAGGTCGAGGTCAAAGTTATAGAGGAAGTTACAGAGGTTATAATAAAGAAATAAGGAATACAAAGATTAAGAAACAACAAGCAAATAGTGCAGAAGGAGAAATACAATTATATGCAGCAAATTTATGTGAAAGTGATGGAAATAGTATTTAGTATAATAGTATTTATTTTAGATTCAGGAGCAAGCAATCATTTTGTTCAAGAGGGTCTAGAAAATAATATAAAAGATGTAAAGACACTACCAGATCATTTAAAAATTCATATTGCAAATGGTAAATAGGTATTTTAAACAGAAAATACCAAGGGCTAAATGTATCTTTTGAAGCGTTTATAGTACCAAAGATGAAATACAATTTATTATCAGCTTCAAAATTGACATCAAGAGGTCATGGGATCGTTGTAGAAAAACATAATTCATCATTAGAAGGAAGAAATTTTATTCTAAATTTTGAAAATAAGAGTGGATTTTATTTATTAACTTTGTATAAAATATTTTTTTTAAGGAAACTTGGATGTTTTAAAGGATTTTATATAAATAAGTATATAAGAAAATTTAAAAATTTCAGATTCAAGTTGGCATTTAAAAAAATTCTTACCGTTAAGCCATAGGCAATGGCGTTCTTGTCGGCATCTCCCGGCAAATAGACCTTCTGATCTTTGGCAATCCAAAATACCTTGCTATAGGGAGGATTGGCGCAGAATTCCATGCTAAGGGTCAACGGTTGGCCGTAAACGGCAGTTATGCTTTTGTTCGTTGGCGTCACCATAGGCCTTCCTGCAATCAAAATAAACAAATGTTAATAAATATTAGTAGGTTAGACAAGTAGATTTTAAATACATTTAGTAAAAATGCATTTTCTGTTTGGGTTTTTTATTATTGGGAAAGTCCAAAATATCGTTTATGAAAAAAGTCATAATATTCTTCAATTATTTAGCAATAAAAATGTTATTTAAAAATGCACTGAGAGAAATGACAAGATATCGATGAGGAAAAGCTTTTAAACGCCGAAATTTTAAAAACCTTATTTACAAAAGCAGGTCATCGAATAAAGTTGTTAAAGAAATAAGAGGAATAAAAAAAACTATTACGGTTAAATATTGTAGTGTATTCACGTATTGTATACGTATTTAAGTAGTGCAAAATCAAAAAAAAATTCTTTTATTAAAATCAGATTTTTTTGATTTTAATTAAATTTTGGATACTAACATTAAAAAAAGTAAAAAAATATCTATTGTTTTATTTTGTGTTCAAGTAAATTTGAATTTTTCTAATAATTTTTTTATTATTTGGTTTAATTATCCAATATATTAAATAAAACATTCTTTTGTAAGTAACATTTTTTGAATCAATATTTTAATTATTTGATTTTATATCAATTCATTAAACGAATACCTATGTATTTAATTAATTTAATTGATATGCTAAAATTATCAAAAATGTTGTTTTCGCAAAAATGGCGAATGCGCCGGGATTAATTTAGAAAAACCAACAATTCCTTTTTAATTTTTTACATAAAAATTGTATCGACAATTTTAATGAGAGTTTTATAAAAGTGGAGGTATATATCAAGAAAAATGGTCTTTTTAAAGTGACGTTGACGGATTTTTCGTAAAATATATTTTTTTTAATTTATGGGGTTTTTATAAATTAATCCCGGCGCATCCGCCATTTTTACAAAAACACATTTTTTCAAATGTCTTACTTTTTGACTCTCCTGAAGGTACTCACAAAGTTTTAAATTTTTAAATTAATATTTTACCTGAGCCCCGACCACTTCTGAAAGTACCTTCAGAAGAGTAAAAGTGTTTTTTTCTTACCTTTTTCTTATTTTTTATTTATTTCCAAGTAATTTTAAATAGCAACCTTAGTTCTTCATACAGGAAAAATATTGAAAATTGCAATGTTTTTTTTTAAATCCATATTTTCCACAAAAATAAATATATCAAGGTGAACCAAAAACAAAACTGTTAAAAATAGATGTGTTTTGATAATTAAAACTTAATTTAGAACAATATACGGTTTTGCCACTCTACAGAGTGTCTTAAACTTATGGTAAAAAAACATCTTTTTGTTTAAACCTGTATATTATAAACGTACGTGTATTTTTTAGTAATTTTTAAAATTTGAGCGATTCTCCATTAATGTATCTACAATATTCTTTAATATTTGTTTAAATCCGAAATCAAATAAAAAAGTTATTTGCGATTGAAATTCATCGAAAATGTGTGTGGATCGATTATTTTGCCTGTGAGTGTATTAGCGAAAAAAAGTTTTGTAGACCTGTTAATTACATCAAAATTGTGTCAATTTTAAATCTAAGAAGGTAATTACTTAATGTTAAAAATATTTGACATCAGTCACAAAAATATGTGTAAAGGAACTTTAAAGTAAAGCAAAGACAAACAAAATTGATTAGTGTTTAGGTTAAAGTGGATTCGTTTACCTCGGCACTAAATTACAGTAACTTTGTTAGTCTTTGAGCGGGGATATTGCATCACTTGATGAACTTACATACCTACGTGTACGTCTAATTACTGCCGGCAAGCCTTTATATTGCGCTTTTAAGTTTCGGCGGGCGCGAACAAAGCGCCTTCTTGAACCCCAAGCGACACCGTCAGCGGGAGGCTTGCTTTGTCTAATTAGGAAAAGCTCTCAGGCACTTTTTCCACTTTGCACCCGTCGCCATCGTCTGTGTCAGCGTCTCCCAGCGAACCCGGCTAAATAAATACTTTTATGGATGTAACGCTTTAATTCGAGTTGTTCTTTCTTTGAAGTTGCGCTGCTACAGAAGCGAAGCGCGCGAATTGTGTGCATTTCTTGCATTTGGAAGTTGTTTGTCTTTTACAACTGTTGCTTGTAGCAAACTGGATAATTTTAAGCCAAGGAATGGCTTATTTGTATTTATTAATAACTCTATGATACACAGAGAGAAAAGTAAAATGCTGATTACCATAATTATAATACCATTTACTATAATTTATATTACTATTTAAATGGCAACATAATATTTTAAAATTTACTATACTTATTAGTAATGAAAAAAAAAACTAATTTTAATAAGATAAAAACAATTAGTTTTTTTCATTACTAATAAGTAATTGTAACATATTTATTGTACAGGGTGGTCCACGTAAGGTGACCCATATACTTATCTCAGAAACTACTGGAGTCACAAAAAATTTGTAAGAAACAAATATTCACGAAGTAAAAAATATTTTTTAAATATTATATTTTCATTTATACAGGGTGTTCGGTTTTCCTTGGGACGATACCAACTTTCTTATTTTCAATGGAACACCCTGTATTTTTTTGCATTTTTGGATTCTACCCACTCTTTTAGGTATACTTTGTAAATATATTAATTAAGAAAATGTTAATACTTTTTGAGAAAAATTAAGATTTATTAAAATTTCTCTAAATGTAGACACTCGCTAAAAGTTAAAAATAATCAACTAAAAGTTATTATTTTTTATATTATGTAGTATCCATCTCTTTAATAATAAGTAAGCTATAAGTTAATTATTATATTTTTGGAAAATATCATACAGGGTGTTTTCTATGTCCCGTTGAAAATAGCGATTTTAAAAGTTTAAAATCTTGTTTTTCTTCAATGGAACACCCTATATATTTTTTCATAATTGGATAGAATAAGTAATTACCTTTCATTTAATATATATATGTCCTATACCTAAACCTAACAGAAAAAAAAATATTCGAATTTTTCACAATTAGTAGCTTTTTTCCAATTACCTTAGTTAAATTTTCATTATTCAAATAAATAAATTTCAATAACAACAAATAAAAATGCTTTTATATATAAATATATATTACTATAATAATTACCATACGCGCAAAGCTACTAATTTTGTAAAATGCGAATATTTTTTTTAGGTGATCCACGTAAGGTGACCCATTTACTTATCTCACAAACTACTGGAGTCACAAAAAATTTGTAAGAAACAAATATTCACGAAGTAAAAAATATTTTTAAAATATTATATTTTCATTTATACAGGGTGTTCGGTTTTCCTTGGGACGATACCAACTTTCTTATTTTCAATGGAACACCCTATATTTTTTTGCATTTTTGGATTCTACACACTCTTTTAGGTATACTTTGTAGATATATTAATTAAGAAAATGTTAATACTTTTTGAGTAAAATGAGGATTTATTAAAATTTCTCTAAATGTAGACATTCGCTAAAAGTTAAAAATAACCAACTAAAAGTTATTATTTTTTATATTATGTAGCATTTAAGTTAATTAATTTATTTTTTGGAAAATAATATAGAGGGTGTTTTCTTTGAATAATGAAAATTGAACTAAGGTAATTGGAAAAAAGCTACTAATTGTGAAAAATGCGAATATTTTTTTTTCTGTTAGGTTTAGGTATAGGACATATATATATAAAATGAAAGGTAATTACTTATTCTATCCAATTATGCAAAAATATATAGGGTGTTCCATTGAATAAAAACAAGATTTTAAACTTTTAAAATCGCTATTTTCAACTGGACTTAGCAAACACCCTGTTTGATATTTTCCAAAAAATATAATAATTAACTTATAGCTTACTTATTATTAAAGAGATGGATACTACATAATATAAAAAATAATAACTTTTAGTTGGTTATTTTTAACTTTTAGCGAGTGTCTACATTTAGAGAAATTTTAATAAATCTTAATTTTACTCAAAAAGTATTAACATTTTCTTATTTAATATATTTACAAAGTATACCTAAAAGAGTGGGAAGAATCCAAAAATGCAAAAAAATACAGGGTGTTCCATTGAAAATAAGAAAGTTGGTATCGTCCCAAGGAAAACCGAACACCCTGTATAAATAAAAATATAATATTTTAAAAATATTTTTTACTTCGTGAATATTTGTTCCTTACAAATTTTTTGTGACTCCAGTAGTTTCTGAGATAAGTATATGGGTCACCTTACGTGGACCACCCTGTACTTTTTAATATACAAAAATGTTATGACAAAGAATTTAACCTACACCTCGCCAAAGTTTTTTGTTTTGAGTGCGTTCCATCAACGTCAAATACCGACAGACAGGTGTTTTGACCTATATTTGGTATCATCAGTGTCGACACGACACTGTCGAGCAACTTGTAGTAGTGGAACACACCCAAAACAAAGAAATACCTGAGCTTATATAACATGGTTGGTAAGCCAAGAGAGGCGAGATGTAAGAACATCACGTGATCCACACCGTCTAACGACGCGTCGCGACGTGGCCTTTGCCGCAATCGGTACATACTATGCAACCAAGTAGGTTCAATTATTTCTTATAAGTATTACCAGTAATGGGTCAAGAAATTTTATTGAAGAAACTAAGAAAATTGAATGTTGAAAATGTCATGAGTTACTATATTGTAAATTATATTTAAATAAATTGTTTATTTACCTTAAACATAAAAGTATCTTTATTTTTACTATATTTTTTGTTAAAGTGTTATATATTATAATATCAGATGTACACCTTACATTTGATTAAATCATATAGTAAATATTACTATTTGTAGATAGTAAAATCAATTTACTAAACGAACATATTAAAAATTAAAATATATATTATACATTTATGATTTAGTAATATTGGTGCTGTAATCTTTACTAAAATTGTATAATAAAAAATAGTATTTTGTATTACAATCTTAATATTGTATTGACGAATATATAATATTGTTACCCTAAAAATCTGTTAAAGTAAATTTTACTATATTTTTTTTACTATCTAAAATTTACTATACAA